AGATTTCGTCATTTTTAGCCTGAAATCAAAGATACTTCCAAGAACAAGTGTAAAATAGTGTGTTTTACAGAGATTTATATCAAATAACCACTATTATCCTTAGCCTCACGGTGGGCGCCAAACTATTATCAATTGAATTTATATGTAGTTCTAAGGATGCCCTTCTACAAATGATAATCACCCTTAATATAGTGGGAAAATTCTATTTTGGATATAATTAAAAATACATAATAGAGATCCAATGATAGATTAATTAATTAGTCTCTCCTTGATTTCCGCCGAGATTCTCCCCCAATTGCGGCTATAACGGCTTTTTTTGTTTCTTGGCTCGATCTCGATCTTGACCAATTTCAATCTTGATTGGTCTCTGGGTCTCGAGCTCGGTCTTGGCCGATCTCGATATTGATCGGTATTTGGGTCTCGAGGTCGGTCTTGACCGATCTCGATATTGATCGGTCTCTGGGGCTCGAGCTCGACAACCTAACTTCGTATCATGGCTCGATATCACAATGATGAATCTCGGACCATCATGTTCCAATCTCGATTAGTCATACAAACGGTAAATTCGATTTTGACAGTATACAGACACACTCTCCCTTAGTATCCCAGTGGGCCGAGAATGTCCATTAATGTCATGGGAACTTGAATCTTCATAACCTCGTTGATCACGCGGTGGTCCGACATGACACACTGTTAACTAGTAGTAGTAGTAGTACAATTCTTTTTTCTCCGATTTGTACGTAATGAGTTAGATATTCAACCTTTATTTAGTTTGGAAAAGAAATTAAAACTACGTTTATGAGACTGCAGGAATAGCATCAAAAACCTCTTTTGCATATATTTGTACGTTGTTCTGGTTATTCTGTATCTGTATCTCTGTAGCGAATATGGTCAGTCGATTCAGTCCTATGCTCCTGCTGAAACTACATTAGCCATCATTCTAACCTTTATGTTAACCTTCACATACTTAAATAAACATAAAAAAGGGCAGAAATTAAATGTTTACTTGACAACTTTTGTTTAGTTCCCTCTTAAACTTTACATAATTTTTAATGTCTCCTAAACTTGGAAATTTGATAGTCTTGACCTCCCTAGATGCTGATGTGGCAAAGAGCGTGAATATACTTTCTTTTAGGCGCGTAGTAGGGAAGAGAAATCGAAAAATTTGCTTCCAAGTGAGGTATTTTTCAAATATTAATTGCCACACATAATCAAATATAATAATTTATTTATTCCAAATATATTTCTCGTTGTTTCTTCTTAATATACATTGCATATTTTATCTCAATTGTATTTTTTTAGATACATAATATACGTTTCAACTATGTATTTCTTATCTTTTTTTCCGGTCCAAATCTATAAAAGTTAGTTGAAACTCCATTTATTTTAACCAAATAGAAAGAAGATTTAGCCAAAGTAATAAAGTTTAAATTGTGTATTTTCTACAAAAAGAAAAAGTACTGTGTATTTTTATCCTTATTTTCACGCGATGCTAATTTATTTAAACTATGCATTTTTTTTTTCGAGTTAAATTCGTAAATATTTGGTCGAAATTTTATTATTTTTAGCTTAAATATTTATTTAGCCAATATATGGAGTTCCAACAATGTATTATTTTATTTTTTTAGATGCAATGATAATATGTTCTAACTGTGTATTCTTTCTTTTCCTCACCAAATATGTAAACAAATTGATTAAAATATCATCGTCTTTAACCAAATAAAAAATTATAATCAAATTAATATTTTTTCAATTTATTATTTTACAGATTTTGGCATGAAAAAAATAATTTAAATAGTTGATTGTCTTAAAAGGATAAAAATATATATTTTATTTTTAAAATCCACATGGAAAAAAAATTATGTGGCAGCGCGTATGTCACACTTTCATGGATTGTCAGCGTCCAGGGGATCGAGGCTATGAAATTGTCAAGTTCGGGAGGGTAATAAAGACCACGTAAAATTTAAGGAAAACTAAACAAAAAATGCCAAATTCAGGGGGTCCCGAACTATTCTGCCAAAAATTATCCACGCTCGGTATTTACACCAAACCAAACAATTTAACCTAGATGAGAATGTATATCGTTTAATCATAATTTAATAATATATATATATATATATATATATATATATAAGTCACATATCTTATATTAGTTTGATATCAATAGAGAATGGGTAAATTTTACCCTTGAATAAGACCCCTCGGGATACTTGTACTACTATCAATGTTCTAGTACGGTTTAGCAGCTGCAGTTTATTTATTTTCTCTCACTACGCCACACTAGTTAATGATGGCATACAATTTATAGGTCATCATATCTTTAGTCCAAACTACTGAGTAGGGTTTGAAAAAAAAAGTAGTATTTGAAGTTAAGTTGAAAAATGGTAGAATTTGAAATTATGTTTGGACATGAATTTCACTTGAAAAAATGTTGCAGTTTTACGAATGGGGAAAAAAGTTTTTCTGAATTTTTTTGAAAAAGTGGTTAACTTTTTGGTTTTTAAAAACTCATTTTCAATTTTTTTTCAAAAAGTTACAAAATTTCATGGACAAATACATTTTTGAAAACAATTTGAAAAAAGGAAAAGAATTACGGGGCCTAAGATAAGTAATAGTAATAGAATTATGTATGATAGTTAAGAGAATCCAACAGGCTAATAATTAACCTATTAGATTGTGTAATCAAGCAGATTACTTAACTGAGCATTTGCTAACATATATTATAAAGCCAAAATTAATTAACGTGGTTAGCAATAGCTAAAGAAACATGGCCAATGTAGTTGATCATCATTTTTTTATCAAGTAAATATTATTGAGTTGGTTTTATCGGGTAAATGGGATAATATCTTACCTTATAATAAAAGAATAAAAATATTATTTGGTGAAAGAAATATTTATCAAGTAAATATTATTAATTGTACATAAGAGTTTATTTAAGAAATAAAGGAAGTCTTTGAGAAAATTCGTAAGCTGGATGATTATTTGAGAAATTCGAAATTTGTTTGGACTAAGTTGATAGACCAAAAAATAGCAGGAAGTGAAAAAATTTCACTATGAGTTACCATTAAATCAACTTTTTCCCACAATATTCTTATTAAATCTAACAAGTAGAGTTTGATAAATATTTGACGACATTAAACGGGTTTTTTTCTTTTGTTGAAAAACTCAAGACATAATTTTCTCGACATGATAATAGACAATGTATAATTCAATTTCTAAATAGATTGGAGAATCAGATTCTATTCTAAGGCACTTTAATTTGGAGTCTCATAGTACACTAAAGGGACATGCATATATGGCAGCAAATTAAAGCCTCTTTGCCAAATTTGTATTCTGTTTATATTTTTTGCTTGTGGGGTGAGTTTTTCCACTTTGATGCTCCTCTACATCAGCCATTATAGCATCCAGACTTTGACTAAGATTTGGCCTCATAGTATAAAAAACGATATCCCGGTATACAAGGCATTTCGCGTTCATACAGGGTCTAGAGAAGCGCCGCATCCCAACGGGTGTGATGTAAACAGCCTACACTAATGCAAGCATTAGTACCTGCTTCCACGGCTCGAACCCGTGGCCTATAGGTCACACGGAGACAACTTTACCATAAACCTATAGGCAGGCAGGGGCGTATGCAGTAGGGGTGTTCAAAACCAAACCGAAACCAAAAACCGAACCGAAATCGAAGCTTAATGGCTTATTTGTATCGGGTTAATGGTTTAACGGATGGGGAACGGATTGAAATTTTTTTATTAACGGCTTNGTTATCTATGTTTAATAGAAGAACAGTAGTGTTGTGCCACATCTTTTTTCACTCTACAACACATGACACACTACATCATTCTTATGTAGGCATTAACAGACATGTATGTTTGGACTCAATGTATAATTTTCTATTCTGAATTTGTATGCTAGGCGGTCAACAAATAATTAATACACGCAATAAATTGAATTAGGCCGATAAACAGCCCAATAACCGCCCGATAAGAGCTAAACCGATACCAATCCGCCCGATATCTTATCGGGTGGCTAGCGGATTAATATATTTAAAAGCCGATAACCGTTAAGCCAAACCGTTAAGAGTAATTAACCGCCCAATCCGCCCGATAAGCAGCCCTAGTATGCAGGAATTTTTGTGAGCGGTATCAAAATTTATAGAAGAATTGGAATAATAACTTTAATTATCATACCTCTAGACAATAAATAGCTTTTATCTATTAGTTTTGTTGAGTCTTAAGTTAGAAAAGAGCCTAAGTTCAACTCTACTAGTTGTGCTAATTGCGGCTTGAACCTCTAACCACTTAGAGCAAAATCAAGCACATAATCAACACACCAAGACACAATTTATGTCAAGTGACGTCATTTTTTCCTACTTATCCGTTTCCTCACAGTATTAATACATATATTTAGTAAAAAAAATCGACGAAGTGGTTCATAGGCCTTGTAGTATCTGAATGATCAATTTCACAGGATAGAACTGTAATTACCCTTTTTTTTTAAAAGCAGTAGATAGCAGGTGAAGAATTTATTTACATATTGTTTGGTTTGCATCTCTATGTATATCACGATCATGTTTAGAATCATTAAACATGTTCTTAATTAGCTAGTTTTGGATTCCCAATTTTCACATAGACTTTTTATTTCGGTTGTTCAGTTGAATTTTGGTTTGAACTCTCAGTTTTACCATAATAAAAAGATAACTTTTTGTTTCCATCTATCATAGGTAAAGAAAATTCTCTATATATATATATATATATATATATTGAATTTCCTTGTCTTTTTCGTATGTTTATTTTCATTATATTTTGACCTCCTTTAATAAAAAATTATAGCTCCGCCTTCCAATAGGTAACGCTTGTGTAGTTCATGCCTTTAATGCAATTCATTCCGTAAGAATATAAATTATTCAATACTCAGAAAATATTCTGCATTAACTAATGCGCTTCTATTATATATTTATTTATTTGTATTTTCAAAAGCATAGAAAGCAAAAATTGCAGGAGTACTTGCAAATTGTTTAAAACTGTTATTTGCCTTAACATGAATTACATTCTAATTACTTAAGAAATGATCCAAAGATATCAAAGACAAGGGAAGAATTCCAAAGAGTTCTTAAAGAACCCCAAAAGGCTTCAATAGAGCCTCAGATAAATATACTAAAACTCGTACACTACTCCTATACTTCAAAATAATAAAGTCCTATTATAACTTCAAGGAGTCGAGAGGCTAGTGGGGCGTGTGGAACCATACTTGAGTCATCCTCGAGTCTGGTCAAATCCATGATTAAAACTAGTCAAACTTGGTTAACCCTTCGATGAAACCTTCCAGTCTTCTTAAAGATGTAGTAACTCGGCCAAAATTATGTGCTACCATAGGAGTTGATCCACATCAACGTCGTACTCCATATGAAGCCACTACTACAATGCTAAGACATTTTCCATATGATAAATTTCCGTCTTAACAATATCATATAATCATGTTTCTCGAACTGAGTTTGTCTCCGAGCAATGTAACTTTCCAGCAGTCCACTTGCAGCATAAATACAGAAAGCTTTTTTGGTACAACTGCAGTTCAGATAAGCAATTGGATAAGAAAAGCAGTGGAAAACAAGTATTAACAAGAACCGGACTTCTTCATTCTTGCACCATGCCCTTCTCATCTTGGTATAAATGGAAAAGGGAAACAGAAATAGTTTTTTCTTAGCTTGGTTAAAGAATTTCGAGCTCTTTGCATTTTGCATTCCTCATGTATACATCATTTTGTGTATTGGAAACAACCTCTCTATCCTCACAAGGTAGGGGTAAGGTTTGCGTACACACTACCCTCCCCAGACCCCACGGTGTGGGTGGGATAATACTGGGTATGTTGTTGTTGTTGTTGTTCATGTATACATCATTATTTTATTTGCAACCTACCCTCGATTTGCCCCCTAATATATTCATCTTTCTGCAAGTCACAGAACAACTCATTTGCAAAGGGACAAAATAGTAGTAATAATAGAATTTTGATTACATTTTTTGTTTTGAGGATTTTTGTTTATTACATTTGTATTGATAAGGAATAGAATTTTGATTAAATTAGTTAATTTTTGCCAAACACACCCAGTAATTATGAGTGTATCTAATATTGGCAGTTTTGTTTCCTCAAGAGCACTGGTGCAAGTACGATACTATAATTTCTATCTATGTAAAAAGCTTCTCAACTAAAATGATTTTCAGATAAATAATCAATTTGTCTAATATGGTTTTTCAGGCGGCTTCTCGTGAGTTTTAATATAACTGCTTGTGAAAAGTAGAGCTGCAGAACAGCATACTAATGTACAACAACAACAACAACAAGAACCCACTATAATCCCACTAGTGGGGTCTGGGGAGGGTAGTTTGTACTCAGGCCTTACCCCTAACCCTAGGGTAGAAAGGCTATTTCCGATAGACCCTCGGCTCCCTCCCTCCAAGAACTCCCCACCTTGCTCTTGGGGTGACTCGAACTCACAACCTCTATGTACCTATAATTAAGTCTGTAGTCTGCAGTGCTTAATAATATTCACTTGCGATTATAGAATCTGATAACTGTAGGTTCGGTTTTGGCTCCTTTCTTAACAAAACTGAACCTCTAATCATCTACTTTTCTATTCCTGTCTTTCTATTTTCGATTTTGTTTTCACAGTGCATTTCCAACAAAAAAGGTGGCACAAACAAACTCAAAAAGGAGTAGTATGCACTGAGATTTCATCCTTTTATGCCCAACAAGATGACATATATACTCTCTAAAGAGTAGACTCAAGTGTGTTTGGAAAGATAAATTAAATGGAATTAAAATTATAGCATTCCTACTTTACCCCTTCATTGATGAGTGTTTTAATGATTTTGCAGGAAGATCAATACATTGGGGGGGCAAATCTTAAAAATTAAGAAGATATGGTGCAAACCAAAAATTTACATACATGTTAGGTTGTGAAAAAATGCAAAGAACTCAAGATTTTCACATACAAGGTTGAAGTTATCTAGAATTATGATTCATTCCTTATATTCCAGTACAGCCTACTTCAAAGACAATGCTAATTCATTCAAAACAGTAACTGATGAAGTAAAGGCCACTGCTCCATTTTGATTTTTAGTGGACACACTCTCCAGGATGTGAAAATCCAAGTTTTGGAACTACAGACTTAGTCAACCAGTCTCTGAAACTTTCTATAACATAATAAGGACCAGCTAATAGTCTCCCCAAACCCCACTTGTGGGAAACTACTAGGTTTGTTGTTGTTGTTGTTGTAATAAGGACCAGCTAATTTAAATAATATTTTGGAGAATATACATAATTTACCAACAAGGTGTATCAAGTAAAAGTTTCAGGTTGCAATGACAGCAACAATTGACGTGTGACAACTCACAGCTTAATGAGAAGTCAAAGAACTAAGTAGCTGAAATAAGGATAAGGTTGGACAAGAGTATTTATAAAATGAGCCTAAGCTGAGGTAAGATTCCCAGAAAGAGACCGAGGAAGGGTGACTATTCCTATAATAATTCTTTTAGAACAAGAACAAATCCACTAAGGTGCCGATTTTCCTGTGGATTCAAAATTAACATGCAATCTAATAAAGCTAAAATGTGAATGGCACAAGTAGAGACGAAAACTACCAGAACTTGAAAAAACTGCCGCACTTGGTGCTTAATTCATTGCTTATCAAGGCGAGTAGCCCAAGCAAAAATTACTCAACCAAGACAGCATAAGAAAATTAAAGAAAAGAGAAGACAGAAGCAGCAAGCATCATAATTTGTTCTATTCCGGTATTAGGACTACTGAAAGTGGAGCAAAAGACATATATTTGCTACGTCATAAGTTCATATAGCTAGCTACCAACAAAATGAAAAATTGAACAGGATATAAACCTTGGAATTTGTTGTCTTCTGTGATTATTCCAAATGTATCTACGGTCTCACGAATCATGATACCACGTACACCACTTAAGCCAGCTATTTTGCACTGAACAACTGCAGGAAATAAGTGCCACAATGTTTCAGAAACGAAGTTGTTATATTCTCTGTGTGCATGTGCCAGTGTGCAAGAGTTAAACACAGTGAACCCAATTTCTCTATGACAGGTCTATTCTTCAGGCTTTAGATAAAGATAACTGGTTATCGCAATTTAGCTCAAACGAACGTTTAGGTCCTTGTAAAACATTAAGACAGGACAGATTCAGCGACTAATAACATAGCATTTCCTTAAAATAGTTTTGAAGGGTCTACCTAAAAGAGTTAAAAGGAGAGTGGGTTTGTTATTTACCTAGAATTAGTGCACCATGTAAGTCTGCATTAAGGAGACATTGTGATAACTGATTTTTCCTGCAAGGCCAATACTGCAGGTGAGAGAGACATACAAGTCAATTGTTTAGCTGAATCATTAGAGAAAAAGGCTTCTTTCTTGAAAAACAAAACCATAAACAAAAGCGAGGAAACAAAAAGCGAACCCAATATTCTTCAGGAGTTTTGTTACATAGTCTTTCCACTTATCGTGCATTGGCTTGAAGATGTCATAGCTGTAGAACAAGCCACAAGAATTCTCAGAACAAGAGATGATCTGGGCCTATGTTGCTCGGACTCTCCAAAAGTGCTGCCGCACCGGTGTCGGATCCTCAAAAAATGCACTAAATTTGGAGGATCCGACACGCACCCAGCAACATTTTTAAAGAGTCCGAATAACATAGATCTGGGCAACACCAGAAAGTGAGTACATAACTTTGCTGCTCAAATCAATGCAACATATGTGTCTGCATGTGTGTGTGTGTGTGTGTGTGTGTATCCACATTAAATAAAAAAGGAAAAAAGAGCAGAAAAGGGGGGAAAAGACACCCAACCTATAAAAGAACAAATGAAAACAGGGAACTTAACTAGTCAAAATAAGAACAAAAAGGAATATGGCCAAGCCAACATTGGCACTATATATCCATGAGGTATCATCAACTGTGAGGTCTAGGAATATTTGGCTCAATCTGACCCTACAGACGCAAGCCCCAGAAAGTCGAGCCCTTAAAAGTATAATCTTTCCTGCTGAAGAAGTGGGAGAACTTTGTCCCTAGAATCCTAGATGAATAATATAGCTAAAAAGTCAAATAAGTAGACAGCTGAATTTGATCATTCGGAAACTGAATTTTATGTAGTGGAACCACACGGGTGTAAGATATCCTTTTAAGCCTTTAACTTTCTACATAAGCAATATCTAAGCAAATAACACTAGGGAGAAGTACTAGCAGCCTATTCATCTATTGTTCTCTTGAGGATAACTGTGCAGAAAATTACCACAGCAAATAGAGGACAGGCATCACATGCAACATGAGATACAGTGCAGCAGCTAATCTCTTACTCAAGAGCCATTTCATGAAAAGGTCATCTTACTGCCTTTTTCATGTGATGGCTCTTAATTAAAAGATTACTTACCAATTTTTTTACAATATTAAAATAAGGAAATAATCACACCAACATTAAATCTATAAACCACCATGAGACTTCAGCATTCAACTTCGGACATAATCAAACTCATCAAGTTAAACAGAAGAAAAAAAACGAAACGCGGTGCACTGTATCAAGTTCAAAAACTAAAACATAATTCCTCACTGAGAAGGGCAGAATGTTTTTAAAAGACAAGCTAAAACTTAATTATTTAAAAAAAAAAAAA